GCTCGAGACTGCGGTGGCCGGGAGTGGCCACTGCACTCTAGTCTGGGCAACAGAGTGAGACTCCAACTCAAAAAAAAAAAAATCATTACAGAAGTATAATATTACAAATGAGAAACTAAGACAGAAGGCTTGTAATAAGAGTAGAGGGAAAATGTTGAATCTTCTTTCAACAACTCATTTAGGCCAGGCATGGTGTCTCACACCTGCAATCCCAGCACTTTGTGAGGCAGAGGCAAGAGGACTGCCTGAACTGAGGAGTTTGAGACTAGCCTGAGCAACATGGCAAGAACTTGTCTCTACAATAAATAAAAAAATCAGCCATGTGTGGTGGCTCATGCCTGTGGTGCCAGCTACTTGGGAGGCTGAGGCAAAAGGATCACCTGAGCCCAGCAGGTGGAGGCTGCAGTGGTCATGTGTGTGCCACTGCACTCTAGCCTGGGCGACAGAGACTCTGACACACACACAAACCCAACTCCTTTATGTGTCAACTTCAATGTTAAATCAGTACTTCTTAACTCTGTTTAGGTAACAACATCACCAACGGATGATGAGAAATACAGAAGCCCTGATTTAACAGATCTCACCTAATAGGGGACCACTGGCATCTATGGGTTTTTTGAAATCCAACCATGTGACTCTGAAGTTCATGTTAGAGGCAAGAACCACTGTGCTAATAATCATTATCTGTTGAAGCAGTATTAAATATACTATCTGACAACTCTTTGCTAGCCATGAATAAATTATCAAATCTACCCTATTCCTTTCTTTTTTTATATAGTTAGAATAAAAAGAGTGGCCTTCCCTTTAATCCAAATTAGTGAAATGATTAAACCTACTAAAATTGCTAAGCTTTTCATTGTTTAACAATTAGGGGTAACCCCCTCCGGTCCCCTCCCACTGTGGGAGCTTTTCTGTCCTCTCAATAAACCCTGCTTTCTCAAAAAAAAAAAAAAAAAAAGAAGAAGGGAAGAAGAAAACCTTCGCAACATTTAAAATTCTGTAAATGTATTTGACAAATTTGAATTTCTTCCTTTTAAAGAAAAATAATTCTGCAGACTCCTCCAAATGTGACTTAAATTATTTTCATTATAAATCTAACAAATATACTCACAAAACTCAATTAATACATCCTTACAAATATAAAAGCAAAATAAATTATAAGATTAAATATAAAAACAAAATTACAAAATCAACACTGATTTATCACCCTGGGTAAGGTTTTGATGAACATTAAATGACCATTCATACCATGATTATGGTCCTGAGGTTTTGGTACAGATTCACTTGAGATAAACCTATTCCACCAGGTACTACTCAATTCTGCTGCCATCTATTTCTGTTTCAGTGGTTCTTAAACTGTGGTCCCCAAACCAGCAGCGCTGGCAACACCTGAGCACTTCGTAAACTTGTAACTTCTCAGGCCCCACCCCAGAACTACTAAATCAGAATCTCTAGGCCTGGGATCCAGCAATTGGTCTCAACAAAACCTCCCAGAGATTCGGATGCACCCATCCTTTGAGACCAGTATGGAGCTGTGGTATTATGACATCACCCCACCCCCCTTGGCTCCAGTGCATCACTTACATATTCCATTCCCTCTGTTCTCTCCTCATTCTCCCGAATATTCCTTACTACTTGGGGCCAAGAACAACAAAACCCCACAAATACCACAGGCATCCAACCCCTGTGGTTATATTGTTATAACATGATGATCCCTCCTTTGAGCTAAAATATCCTTCTATTAATTTTTGAACCCTGAAATGAAACACAAACTTAAATTATGTTTGTCTAAAAACTTGAGAATTCTGTGAATATTCTCACTGTTCTGATTTTGTGATAGTCAGGACAGGCTAAACATTTGCTATATTAAGACCATGCATGTGTCCCCTAACATAGTTCTTTCCCTGGGTCTGGTTTTATAAATGCTGGTAATAAACCAGGTCTGATTTACATGATCATTTTGTATAATCATATGATGGCTGTGATTTTAAGTTATCTTTGGTCAACCTTAAGAAAATCAACAGTACAGCTAATGTAATATTTTGCAAATAACCTTATGTTAATTTGCAGATTTGTCTAAGGAAGGTATAACTATAAGTTGGGAAATTTCATGGTTACCAGTTGCTATTAAATGAAATGTAAAAGTATTGTATTTTTATTAAAAAAAAAAAAAACAACAAAAAAACCCACGAGAATTCCTGAAAATATATTCAAGAAACCCTGGGAGCCCACAAAAAATTTATTATAAAATATAGAGAAAGTGTTTGAAATACTGTATCCATTTATACCACTGAAACACTGCTGTATGCTGGTAAAAAATTAAAAATCAAAATCAAAAAACTTGTTTTAGTAGCTGGGTTTTTATTTTGTAGCCAAAAAAAAAAAGTAAATGATACTTAGTTTCCTTACACATAAAATGAGGGAACTGGACTAGGATCTCAACCAGGGTTAAGTAGCAGAATCACCTGAGAGGTTTTTTTTGTTTGGTTTGTTTTGTTTTTTTAGGGACAGAGTCTCCCTCTGTTGCCCAGGCTAGAGTACAGTGGAGCGATCTTAGACCACTTCAGCCTTAAATTCTTGGGCTCAAGTGATACTCCTGCCTCTGTCTCCCACGTATTTAGGACAACAGGCATGTGCCACCACATTTGACTAAACTTGAGAAGTTTTTACAAACTACATATAACCCAGTTTTGCCTTCTCCCTGAAGAGAATCACCAAAGCACCTGACTGCTTGAAGTAACTTTGTCCTCTACAGCTCTGTATTAGCAAAGACATTACACAAAATCAACTAGAAAGAATTTTTCTTTATGTTACAAAGAAAGTTAGAAAAGTAGAGAGAAATTTTTTTCCAATTTAGGTTTTATGTTCATGAGTAATGTTGATTTTCTTAAATTATCCCTGATTGTGTTCAGGCTAAAAAAGCAAAAAGATGTTTATATAACATCTTTAAATATTTCACCTTGCAAAGCTTAAAGAAAAAGATTTTTGAGAGGGGAAGGCGGTGGGTAGTGGACATAAAAACTACCAAAATTTAGGTCAGGCATGGTGGCTCATGCCTATAATCCCAGCACTTTGGGAGGCCAAGGTGAGAGGACTGCCTGAGCCAACAGATTCAAGACCAGCCTGGACAACATGGCGAGACCTCATCTCTACAATAAATAAAAAAATTAGTTAGGTGTGGTGGTGCGTGCCTGTAGTTCCAGCAACTTGGAAGGCTGAGGTGGAAGGATCACCTGAAATCCTTTTCCTATATTTTAGTAGGTCAAGGCTGCCGTGGCCATGAGCATGCCACTGCACTCCAGCCTGGGTGACAGAGTGGGATTCCAACTCAAAAAAAAAAAAAAAAAAAGGAACTACCAAAATTTAACTTACCATATAATCCAAGTGCTCAGACTAATTATAATACAATGAGGCTCTGTTCTGGAACTCTTGAAGTGCTTCAGTGAATGTTGGCTTTCTGAGTTTTTACTACATCCCTGAAGATGAACAGAATGTTATCTGTATGACTTACATACGTTTGTTTCAAATTCATCAAAACTTAAATCACACTCAAATTTACACTGGAAAAGTTTTGTTTCTAATTTCAAGATGGAGTGGAAAGTTTCAGAAGGCAATACAGAGTCTCATAAACTTTAAATGTTTGCAAAGAGGCTAACTGGCTTTTAGATATATAGTATTTATCTAAAATAATCGTGGGCAAAGTTAATTTCCCAATGATTAAAAAGTGTCTGCACTCTCTGTCTTGTGCATTATGGGACATTGAGCATCCAGGCAGGCCAGTAGTGCCCTCCCCCAAGACACATATTTCCCAATCCCGTATACACTTTCACTCCACCCCGCTGAGAATTAGTGAAACACAAACCAACCAGAGTGATTTCCCTCACTAGTTAATAAATAGATACAGGCTGGAAGCGGTGGTTCACGCCTATAATCCCAGCACTGTGAGAGGACTACTTGAGCCCATGGGTTCAAGACCAGCCTGGGCAACAAGATGAGACCTCGTCTCTACAATAAAATAAAAAAATTAGCCAGGCATGGTAGCACGTGCCTGTAGTTCTGGCTACTTGGAAGGCTAAGGTGGAAGTATCACCTGAGTCCAGCAGGTTGATACTGTAGTGGCCGTGAACGTGCCACTGCACTCCAGCCTGGGCAACAGAGAAAGACTCCAACTCAAAAAGAAAAAAGAAAAAAAAGAAATAGATACGATTCCAGTTAATGTGGCATGAGGGGAAGTCAAGTTCGTCAGATATTTCTGAAAAAGCTTTATATATTTCCAAAAGGAGCACAGGCCTTTTTATGGCCTTTGCTAATTTCTGTGTGATACATAGGAGAATAATAGAAGAAATCTGTTTTTAATGTTCTTCCTAATTTTTTTTTGAGTTGGAGTCTCACTCTATCACCCATGCTGGAGTACAGTGGCAAGCTCATGGCCACTGCAGCCTCCACCAGCTGGGCTCAGGTGATCCTTCCGCCTCAGCCTTCCAAGAAGCTAGAAATACTGGCACGCACCACCATGCTCAGCTAATTTTTTTATTTACTGTAGAGACAAGGTCTCCCTATGTTGCCCAGGCTGGTCTCAAATCCATGGGCTAAGCCAATCCTCTGGGCTCTTATCTCCCAAAGTGCTAGGATTACAGATGTGAGCCACCGCACCACCTGGTCAATGTTCTTTCTATTGAATTAATTAATCCTGAAGTGGCCTTACTTCTGGACTTCTTGTTGAGACAATAAAGATGCCTCTTGCCAGGTGTGGTGGCTCATGCCTGCAATCCCAGCACTCTGGGAGGCAGAGACAAGAGGACTGCCTAAACCCATGGGTTCCAGACCTGCCTGGGCAACATGGTGAGACCTCGTCTCTACAATAAATAGAAAAATTATCCAGGTGTGGTGGTGCATGCCTATAGTTTCAGCTACTGGGAAGACTGAAGTGGAAGGATCACCTGAGCCCCGCAGGTTGAGGCTGCGGTGGCCGTGAATGTGTGACACCAGCCTAGGTGGCAGAGTGAGACTCTGACTTAAAAAATAAATAAATAAATAAAAATAAAGATTACTCTCATTTTTTAAAAAAAGGATACACTTTAAGGCTGGATGCGGTGGCTCAAGGTTATAATCCCAGCACTTTGGGAGACCAAGGCAAGAGGATTGCCTGAGACCAGGGATTTGAGACCAACCTGGGCAAATTGGCGAGACCTCATCTCTACAATAAAAAAATTAGCTGGGCTTGGTGGTGCGTGCCTATAGTTCCAGCTACTTTGAAGTCTGAAGCAGAAGGATCTCCTGAGCCCAGCAGGTCGAGGCTGCTGTGGCCGCGAGTATGCCACTACACTCCAGCCTGGGCAACAGAGCGAGACTCCAACTCAAAAAAAAGAGAAAAGTATACACTTTAAATTTCATTAGAAAATTCCTTTATTATAGTTATCAATAGGACTTCTATACTTTAAGGTAAGTTATTTTGCAAAAAAAATCAGAATAATCCTTTTTGAGTGAGAAAAAAAAAAAGAATCTAAAAAGTTGAATCCGTTTCCTAAGTAAATACAAAAGGAAAAGAGGTCCAGATACGGGAACTCCTGCAAGTGGGTAAGTGGGTTGGATTCACTTCCAAAGTATTTATAAATCATACCTGATTAGTTTCTGAACATAGCATACCTTTTACTTTATCTTAACAAACATTTTTCGGTTCATTCTTGCAGAGTTTCTGTCTAAATATGGAGCACATTTACCTGAAGTCCTGTGTGTGACCAATGGTCCAACTCACAGCAAGCATTTAGAAAAATAAGACACACATATAAAAAACACCTTTCTTACCTGGAAACCACACTTGAGGCACAACCAAATATCAGAAGGAAGTACTGGCTGCCCATCTTGGAATCTTCTTTCTTTTAAACATTCTGAGCAAACTGACCACAGATTCTCAGCTATTGCTCTCTTCACATGATTCACGCTGACAGCATGACTCACATGTTGGCAAGTTAAACCTACTGAATAAAATAAAACAAAATTTGAACATTTTCTTTGCTAAAACCAAGCACATTTCTTCGCTAAAACTATCACTTGCAAAAGTCAATAGTATTAAAATGCTGTTAACTAGGCCAGGTGTGGTGGCTCATGGTAGTAATCCCAGCACTTCGGGAGGCCAAGGCAGGAGGACTGCTTGAGCCCAGGAACCCAAACACAACCTAGGTGACACAGTGAGAACTTGTCCCTACAAAAAAATCCAAAAATTAGCCAGGCACAGTGGTGCACTCCTGTAGTCCCAACTACTCAGGAGGCTGAGGTGGAAGGATCACCTGAGCCCAGGAGGTCAAGAGTAAGGTGTGCCATGATCATGCTACTGCACTCCAGCTTGGGCAACAGAAAGAGATCCTGACTCAAAAACAACAACAACAATTTTTAAAAAAACCATAAAATGCTGTTAACTAAAAAGCATATATTCAAAACATAAAATAATTCAAAAGGATACATGATTCCATTTATATAACATTCATGAATAACATAATTATAGTGTGGAAGAACATTTTAGTGGTTGTTGGGGTTATGAATAGAGGGCAGAGGGTGTTGCTATAAATGGGTAGCACACAGGGAGGTAGTAATACAGTCGAGTATCTTGATTTTATACAAGCTATGCATATACTAAAATTGCATAGAACTACAAAACATGTACAAACACACTTCCCTATGAGCACATGTATTTCTGGTGAAATCTGAATAAGCTCTGAGGATTTTACCAACATCTTTTTCCTAGTTTTGATACTGTACCACGGTAATGGAAGGTACTGATATCAGGGGAGGATTGGAGAAGGGGACCTCCTTGTATGCTTCTTTTTCTTTTTTTTTTTTTTGAGTTGGAGTCTCACTCTGTCGCCCAGGCTGGAGAGCAGTGGCACGCTCCCGGCCACCGCAGCCTCGACCTGCTGGGCTCCGGCGATCCTTCCGCCTCAGTCTTCCGAGTAGCTGGAACTACAGGCGTGAGCTACCATGCCCGGCTAATTTTTTGATTTATTGTAGAGATGAGGTCTCATCAAGTTGCCCAGGCAGGTCTTGAAGCCACGGGCTCAGGCAATCCACTCACCTCAGGCACCCAAAGGCATGGGATTACAGGCTGAGCCACCGAGCCTGGCTGCTTCTTTTTTCTTTTCTTTTTTTTTAAACCAAAGTGTATGAGAGAAAAAAGAGAGGAAAGAAAGGAAGACACACCAGAGCTGGCATGGGTGAGAGAAACCGCCCTTCTTGCATATTTCTTTGCACCTTCCTATGAATCCTTCTGCCTCAGCCTTCTAAGTAGCTGGAACTATAGGCACGCGCTACCACGCCTGGCTAATTTTTTTCATTTACTGTAGAGATGAGGTCTCACCAAGTTGCCCAGGCTAGTCTTGAACCCAGTGGGCTCAAGCAATCCTCTCACCTTGACCTCCCAAAGTGCTGGGATTATAGGCATGAGCAACCGTGCCCGGGCCCTACTTTCCTTTGTAGCACTGTGTGCACTGGTGGAGAAAAATGGTCAAAATTAAGCAAATATTATTTTAAGTCTTTAAATAATTAGATTTTTCTCCTCATGGCACAATTATACCTCCCTTTCTCCCAAATGCCTGAACACTTTAAGTTCTTCACCTTAGGCATCTCAAACATTAAAACTACCATCACCTACCAAAATGAAACAAGGGAAGAGACCAAGTAACTTGAAGAGGAAACAGGATTATGTACATTTCAACTTTCACAACTTCCCTTTCTAAATGTAAAGCGTTCCTTCTGACCTACTAATTAGCCAGAGAGAGGCTAAGCAGTTTTTCCTTTTTACCCGGAAGACAAGAATATGATTGCAAACAAGTTATAGTAGCAAATAATTTCAACCAAAATAATATGCAGACCTGAATAAAATATTAAACTTCTAATTTTATATTAAGAGCAAGACATAAGAACAGACATAAAAGGGGTAATTCTGAAGTCGTATGTCTGAAAGGCAAGAACCCATGCCATTGAATGGACGGCTATCAGGGAAGATGATATATGACCAATAAGTACAAGATCTCAAAATGGTTTACCAAATGTTATTGCTTTGTTTGATTTTTATCTCTTTAAGTACTAAACCTTACCTTTTTTTTCTCTTATCCAAATTCCTAACTAAGAGGCTTGGGGAGTCACTGCCTGATGAAGACTCAGCAGAGAGGGTTTTAGTGCCCTTTCACCTTATATCCTAAAGTTTGTTTTTCGACCTGACTGGCATAACATCACACAACATCACACATAACATCACACATAAAAAAGAAAATCAAAGTATTTTACGGCCCTGCAAAGCTAGCTCCTGGGGACTCAATCAGAACCTTGTAAGATACGTATCTATAATCTCTCAAGTCTGATACATATAAGACTTCATCTACATATCAAGAGACCTTGAGTTTTCTGGCCCCTTACCTTTTTTTTTTTTTTTTTTTTTGAGTCAAAGTCTCACTCTGTCGCCCAGGTTAGACCAGGCTGGAGTGCTGTGGCACATGCACAGCTACCACAGCCTTGACATGCCAAGATCCTTCCACCTCAGCCTTCTAAGTAACTGGAACTACAGGTGTGTGCCACCATGCCTGGCTAATTTTTTGTTTTACTGTAGAGACAAGGTTTCACCAAGTTGCTCAGGTTGGTCTAGAACTTCTGGGCTCGGCCAATCCTCTTATGTTGGGATTACAGGCATGAGCCACCCAGCCCGCCCACCTAGTTGCCCCCTTATCTTAACAAAGCATCTCCTCTACTGAGTTCCAAAATTCCTTAATAGGAATTCCAAATTACCTGTCAGGAACTCCTTAAATTCACCTATGGGCTGGACTCGGTGGCTCAGCCTGTAATCCCGTGCTTTGGAAGGCTGAGGTGAGTGGATTGCCTGAGCCTGCGAGTTGGAGACCCGCCTGGGCAACTTGGTGAGACCTCATCTCTACAATAAAAATCAAAAATTAGCTGGGCATGGTAGTGCTTGCCTGTAGTTCCAGCTACTTGGCACTCTGATGCGGAATGATCACCGGAATCCCTCATGTCCTCGCTGTGCTGACAATGACCGAGCTACTCCCCTCCCCTCCAGCCTCTTTCAATAGAGTGAGACTTCAACTCAAAAAAAAAAAAAAAAAAAAAGATTTCCTACAATGGGTAACCAGCGTTAACCAGTTTTTAAGTAGTATATACTATCTTTTGTGGATGAAAAAAGTATAAAGTTTCCTTTTGTGTTAATAAGTAAATGTCTTATGTTTTCGGTAATTATTTAATCACGTAATTGTCTAAATGTCATCTGACAAATAGGTACTCTAAAGATTCCTGAATAAAATAGTAAAATATAGTAAAATCTACAGCTGTTTCACATTTAAAAAATCAAAAACAATAATCAAAATCTCCATGATGTCCACTTTAAATATTAATAAAGTCTGTACAAGGAGGCCTTCCAATGTGCAAATGGTGACATTAAGTCAATACTACCCCCATCTCCCAGAAATTACCCAAAGACAATAAAAACGGGAAACAACTGGGCCAGGTGGCTCATACCTGTAATCCCAGCACTTTGGAAGGCCAAGGAGGAAAGACTGCTTGAGTCCAGCAATTTGAGACCAGCCCAGGCAACATAACGAGACCTCATCTCTACCAAAAAAAAAAAAAAAAAAATTGGCCAGCATGGTTGTGTGCACAGGTAGTCCCAGCTACTCTGGAAGCTGAGGCAGGAGGATTGTTTGAGCCCAGGAAGTTGCAGCTGCGGTGAGCTATAATCCTGCCACTGCACTTCAGCCTGGCTGACAAAGTGAGACCTTGACTCAAAAAAAAAAGGAAACAAAGACACAAAGTTTATTTGCAGAGAAACCAGTAGACAGCTGAAACCCTAAGTCACAAATTAGATAGAAGAGCTCCCACCTCAAAGCAGAGATCAAAGCGGGGTGCACTCCAAAGAAAGCAGAGAGAATACAGCAGCTGTAGATTTCATAAAGAACAACATATGCTTCCCAGGCAGAACAAACCTAAGTCATTGTGCTGTAGCAACAATAGCAAGAGCTCCCTGTATTCAATTTTTTTCTTTTTTAGAAAAAAAGAGGGGAATTTCTCATTCATTAATTGAGAAACAAAGCAAGCCATATTTGCAGGAAGAAGTCTTAACTATGGCATTGAGGAGAACAGATACTTAAATTCTGAAAAAAAAAACAACAAACTATGACTGCATAATTCTACTGGTTGGAGAAAAGGAAAGGCCAAATGAACTCAAACTCAAAACTCAGGATAGAGCCATGCACAGTGGCTCACGTCTGCAATTCCAGTACTTTGGAAGGCCAAGGTGGGAGGACTGCTTGAGCCCAGGAGTTTAAGACCAATATAGCGATACCTTGCCTCTACAAGAAAATTAAAAAATTAGCCAGGCGTGATGGTGTGCATCTGTAGTCCCAGGTACTTGGAAGGATGCCTTCTGCCTCAGCAGAAGGAATGCCTGAGCCCAAAAAAGTTGAAGCTATGATGAGTCATGACTGTGTCACTGTACTCAGCCTGGGCAATAGAGTGAGACCCTGACTCAAAAAAACTAAAACTAAAAAACAAAAACCAAAAAAACCCAAAAAACTTAGGCTAGGTTTCAACAAGGCTCTAATATCCCCTTTTTACCCAAATAGTCTGAAACTAGCTGGTCGAAGAAAAGCAATCCTGTATCAAAGAATGAGTAATCATCCCCTTGCCCCAAGCCTGAATCGGTCCCTCCCAGAGAATCTCACTTGCACCCTCACATTAAGGGTGGACATGGGCATGTAGGTGGCAAGGGCTCAGCCTCTGCCCCTCCGGTCCACCCAGCATTTGCCCCCTTTCTGTCTTGGGGACTGAGGATGTAGATATTGTACATGGGTTTCTAAATCCCCTCTTTTCTATCTATGCACTTTTTAACGTAATAGGGTGTGGTCCAGGTGAAACCCTCTCACAACACAAGTCTGTAACTGTTTGGGGGAAAAAAAAAAAGAATGAGTAATCAAAGAGAAATCAAAGGTACAAATTCTATACTAAGATAATATAAGAAAAACGAAGGAAGAAACTGGAAAAACAAACATCGAGTGATTGCTGCCATGAAATAAGAACACAAAACAGCAACTGCTCTAGAGAAGATGGCAAAATGACAGGAAGTGTCTGGAAGTTCAGGAAAGAAGTGGAATAAAAATAGATAAATAAAACTACAAAAATGAAGACTAAAGTAAAAAGAACATTCAGTGAAACAGATACCTCAGCAAACACAGCAAAGGATAAAAATAAAAACAGCAAGCAAAATGAAAAGGAAATAAGAGTTTTAGAGGATCTGAGAAAAAAAACTGTGAAAGAAGCAAAGGAACTTTAACATAAGAATAAGCAGAGGCTGGGCTCGGTGGCTCAGCCTGTAATCCCGCGCTTTGGGAGGCTGAGGTGAGTGAACTGCCTGAGCCCGCGGGTTCAAGACCCACCTGGGCAACTTGGCGAGACCTCATCTCTACAATAAAATGAAAAAAATTAGCTGGGCGTGGTAGCATGCGCCTGTAGTTCCAGTTACTTGGAAGGCTGAGGTGGAAGGATTGCCGGAGCCCAGCAGGTCGAGGTGGCGGTGGCCGGGAGCGGCCACTGCACTCCAGTCTGGGCGACAGAATGAGACTCCAACTCAAAAAAAAAAAATAATAAGCAGAATCCCTGAAGAAAGCCAATTATCAGGAAAACAAATATTTAAAGATATAATTCAGACTTCCTTCAACACAGTTAACTATCCTGAAAACCTGTCAAAGTTAAAAAACACTTAAAATATAAATAATATTTTTTAAAATATCTTTTTTATTTATTTTTTATTTTATTTTACCTTTTAATAGAGACAGGATCTCACTCTGTTGCCCAGGCTGGAGTGTAGTAATAAGATCAGAGATCACCGCAGTCTCCAACTCCTGGACTCAAGTGATCCTCCCAAGCAGCTGGGACTATAGGTGTGTGCCACCACGCCTGGCTAAGTTTTTATTTTTGATAGAGATGGGGATCTCACTATGCTGCCCAGCCTGGTCTCAAACTCCTAGACATCCTCCTGCCTTGGGCTCCCAAAATGCTGGGATTATAGGTGTGAGACACCATGCCTGGCAAAAATATCTTTTTTTTTTTTTTAATTAATCAGTATTTTTATTATAGTTTTGTGGGGTACAGTTAAGGATTAGGTGTACAATTACGTTTCATTCAGACACCCTGTTGATAAGAGGTGTTTTCCCAGCCCCAGACAGATATTTGCTACTGTTGGCAAAAATATCTTTTAAACAGAGAGTTGAACTAGCAAAAAAGTGAACAAAATCTTCAGAGGTCAAAAACCAAAGGCATGAAGCTAAAGAGAAAACCAAGCCCTGAAACCAGCAGTTCCCAAGGGCCATCTGCCAAGCTCTGGTGGCTTGGAGAGTTGGTTTTAATAGGCTATAAGAAAGGGACCCAAAAAACATGCCAATCTAAGTTACTTTCAAAACTATACAAAATCCCAATAAAAACATCCACAGGACTGGATACGGTGGCTCACACCTGTAATCTCAGTACTTTGGGAGGTAGAGGCAAGATGATTACCCGAGCTCAAGGGTTCAAAACCAGCCTGGGTAACTTGGAACGACTTCCTCTCTATAATAAATTTTAAAAATTAGCCAGGTGTGGTGGCACGTGCCTATAATCCCAACCTCTGGCGAGGCTGAGATGGAAGGATCACCTGAGGCCAGCAGGTCAAGGTTGGTGGCTATGAGCATGCCATTGCACTCCAGTCTGGGCAGTAGGGAGAATGACTCAAAAACCAAAAAAAAAACAACACATCAACAGGATTTTTCTGGAACTAGACAAGCTGATTCTAAAATTGATGCAGGCCAGGTAAAGGGGTTTAAGCCTATAATCCCAGCACTTTGGGAGGCCTAGGCAGGAGGACTGTGTGAGTCCAGGAGTTCGAAGCTGCAGTGAACTAAGATCATGCCACTGCCCTCCAGCCTGGGCAACAGACTGACACTCAGTCTTAAAAAGAAAAAAAAAAGTTTATGAAGAAAACAGTGAAAATAAAGTGTAACAGACTTATTAATTAAAAACACATACAGGCTGGGCACAGTGGCTCACGCCTATAATCCCAGCACTTTGGGAGGCCGAGGTAAGAGGATGCCTGAGCCCACAAGTTCAAGATCAACCTGGGCAACTTGGAGAGACCTCATCTCTACAATAAATCAAGAAAAATATTAGCTGTATGTGGTGGCGCATGCCTGTAGTTCCAACTACTTGGAAGGCTGAGGCAGAAGGATCTCCTGAGCCGAGTTGGCAGAGACTGTGGTGGATGTGAGTCACTCATTCTGGGTGACAGTGAGACTTCGACTAAAAAAAAAAAAACAAACAAACAAACAAAAAAACCCACATACAATCATCTCTCAGTATAGGGAGTGGGTGTTTTGGATCCAGGACTGCAGATACCAAAACCTGCCCATACTCAAGTCCCAGTCAACTCTGGGAACCTGCATGTAGCAAGAGTCAGCCTTCCAAATAAGCAATTTCTGCATCCCACAAATAGTATATTGTCTATGTTTGGTTGAAAAAAATCCTTGTATAAGTGGACTCCCGCAATTCAAACCCACGTTGTTCAAGGGCCAACAATATTGTTACTTCTTTTCCTCAACACTATCTGGGATGCCAGATGTCACAATTTACCAGCAACATCATCAGAGGAGTCTTCATCACGAGGTATAGTTAGCCGTTTACTTCTTTTGGCTTTCTCAGATAACACTTTCGTTGGATCTTTCACCCGCATCTGTTATTTCCTGAAAGAGTTGAGGAAAGAAATAAATCTACTTTAATCTTCAAAATTAAAATTTTACATATTTAATGCATATCAAAGCTGACATGACTTTCATTTTAATTGGTCAAGCAGATCAACAGAGGAAGAGGGGAACATCAGCTGAAATTAAAGAAATCTTTATTAAATCAATATATAAATGGTACATTCCATTTGACTTTTATCAACTACCCTGTTATGGACTAAATGTTTGTGTGTCCCAAAAATCTACATGTGGAGCTGGGCATGGTGGCTCACGCCCATAATCCTAGCAATTTGGGAGGTCGAGGCAAGAGGATTGCCTGAGGCCGTGGGCTCCACACCAACCTGAGCAATATGGCAAGACCTTGTCCTTACAATAAATTAAAAAAAATTAGCTGGGCATGGTGGTACATGCCTGTAGTTCCAGCTATGTGGAAGGCTGAAGCAGAAGGATCCCCTGAGCCCAGCAGGTTGAGACTGTGGTGGCCATGAGCATGCCACAGCACTCCAGCCTGGGCAACAGAGTAAGACTAAGACTCCAAAAAAAAAAAAAATTTATATGATGAAATCGAATCCCCAGTGTGATAGCACTTGGAGGTGTAGACTTTGGGAGGTAATTAGGTCATGAAGGTGAAGGCTTCATGAATGGAATTAGCCTCTTAGGAGAAAAGGCTAGAAAGCTATCCTGGTATCCACATGAAGGTACAAGGAGAAGATGGCCATCTGAAAACCAGGAAGAGTGCTCTCACTAGACACCAGATCTGCCAGCACCTTGATCTTGGACTTCTCAGCCTCCAGTACTGTGAGAAGTAAATAACTATTGTTTAAGTCACCCAGTCGATGGTAATTTGTTATAGCAGTCTGAACTGCTATAGACATACCCCGTAAATATACCTTGTCCAGGTGAATGAAAAAACTAAAGTTTTAGTCAACTGAGTAAGTGCTGATTCTGGATAATGCATGTCTCTTGCCCTTTCTTCCATTCTAGTAGCAAGGTGGTCAGGACTGAAAGAGCCACACTGGACCAGGGATGGAAGCCATAGCCAAGCACAACAAAGCCACCCTATCTATGCTATACTACCTAGCACTGGACTATTAAGAGAAAAATAAATTTCTATCTTCTTAAGGCTACTTCATTGTGGGGCTTTTTTCCCTCTAACTTTTTTTTTTTTTTAGAGAGTTAGAGTCAGGCTGGGCATGGTTGCTCACGCCTGTAAGCCCAGCACTATGGGAGGCGGAGTTGAGATTATTGCCAGAGCCTAGGGGTTTGAGATCAACCTGGACAACTTGGTGAGGCCTCATCTCTACAATAAATCAAAAAATTAGCTGGGCATGGGTGCACACTTGTAGTTCCAGCTACTTGGAAGGCAAGGTGGAAGGATCACCTGAGCCCAACAGGTCGAGGCTGTGGTGGTCATGAGTGTGCCACTGCATACCAACCTGGGCAAGAGACTCCTACTCAAAAAAAAAAAAAAAAAAAAAAAAAAAAAAGAGTAACATCAACACATATAATACTAGTAAAATAAAAGAACCAGGCATTTAATCTAGAATCTGTCAACCACCTGTGCCTTTTTTTTTTTATTTGAGAACACTGACTTTCTTGGCAATGTCAAGACAATTTCTAAAGAACTTTCTGACATGTTATATGTCTAAACAGACAGAATCATTTGGTATAGTAACTCACAATTTGGCAAACACTTATCTATACAATCTTCTTTTTCAACTTCCATTTAAGGCAGAGACAAAATTAAAGTCTAATTATTAGAGCTTCCAATACTTTCTGTCATCAAATTTGCCTAGGCATTGGAGGTTCAGAAGAGTGAGAGGGTGGGAAGGGATTGAGAGATGAGAAATTACTTGATAGGTACAATGTACATCATCCGAGTGGCGGTTACACTAAAATCCCAGACTTCACTACTACCCAATATAACCATGTAGCAAAAGAGCAATTGTACCCCTTAAATTTATACAAATAGGCCAGTCATGGTGGTGCACACCGTAATCTCAGCATTCTGGGAGGCCGAGGTGGGCAACATGGTGAGACCTTGGCCCTACAAAAAATTTTTTAAAATTAGCCAGGCTTGGTGGCACACACCTGTCATCCCATCTACTCAGGAGGCTGAGGTGAGAGGATCGCCTAAGCCCAGGGGGTTGGGGCTGCAGTGAGCCATGATCCTGCCACCGCACTTCAATCTGGGCAACAAAGTGAGACTCTGACTAAAAAACAAAACAAAAAAAAGTGTCTGAAGCTCTCCAGACCCCCATATTTGGAGATTGGATGGAAAGAGTCACACGACTCAGCATATAGTTGTACTCATGGCTAACATTTATTACAGCAATGCAGTATGAATATACAGCCTGATCATAATGAAAAAAGGCACGGGTGGAGTCTGGAGGAATCACAGGCTGGCTTCCTTCTGCTCTCCCTCCCTCCCAGGAAGGGTCAAATAACACTCTTCCCCCAACAAGGAAAAAGCAGCAACATGCAGGCAATGCTTCTGCCCAGGGAACCCGGCTAGAGACTTGGAGCCCAGGATTTTTATGAAAGCTGGTAATTTCGGCATAAAACATCTTGTTCGGCACAAACCCCAAACTGAAGTTCCCCGATGCCAAACAAGGGCCAACCTTGCAAGCTGTCCTTTCTAAGGACAGCAGCAGTCTCAGGCCTGCGGTGGTAACTCTTTTCAGCACCAATATCTTCTGGCCACCTTTCTCATTTAGTTTTCCAAACATCAAACTTTACGGTTTTCAACTTCACTATCACTTAACATCCGTCTTTTCTCTAATGTAGGGTGTCCAACTAGGTCGTTTAGAAAGCTTTGTGTTTGAACAGGCTATGCAAACAAAAGCTCACACACTCCAAAAAAAAAAAAAAAAAAAAAAGTGTCCTTTCCCCCTATTCTTAGATCGATCACCTTCCAGATTCCAGGCTAAAACACGACCAGCACTTCCAGCTCCGCTGTGTTTCACGCTCAGTTCTAAGCGCTTCACAGATACGCACCCACCTAACCCTCCCAATCACCAAACGAGGTAGGTGACCACGACTTTCCCCATTTTACACTTGAGGGGAGACCGAGGCTAAATGACTCTGCCGAGGTCTCAGAGCCAGTGAGTGGTGGATGGGGATGTGGACCGGGCAGTCCGACCTGTGGACCCGGCGGCACGATGCTGCCAGAAAACCGTGCTCAGACACGCTTCTGGCCGCGAACCCACACGGCCCAAGTGTAGGAAGATAAAATGCGCCGTGACGAGA